TTCTTTATTATTATTATTATTATTTTTATTTTCTCTCTTTTCTATGGAATGTTCTGAGATGTAATAATTAGAGTTCCATAGTAAATTTTTGGTTTTTACAGTAAAAAAAATCAATCAAAACTCAAAGTTAATTCATTTTTAACTCAATTTCACTATCTCCCATATTATCAATATAATAATATAATATCAACCAATTATTCTTAAATATCACAACAATTTTAATTCATTATTTATTCACTCACATAATTTTAAATAATCATCATTTTCAATCATTTTTCTCTTACTTTACATCAAATCAACTTTAATTATTTTATTTAAATATTATTTTAATATATCCACTAACAATTAATCATATTATCTTTTTTCAAAATTAACTATAGTTAAAAAACAAATCAAATAAAAATTGATTGAATTCATAAACAATCACCCCATAAAGACTTGATAACATCCACCTTAAATGCAAAACTATTTAGTCTTTGATTTAACCTGTCTTAAGTTTCTGTGAACATCAGTCATGGAACATATTGAGCATAACTGTAACTCTCTGCATGTGTGCATGCAAGTGTGTGTGGCCTAAAATATTTTTACCACAAGTAAATGAAAAAATTTCAAGACGGTGTGTTATCCATAAAAGAATATTTATGGTAGTATGTAAATATTATCGAATGAAAGCTTGTTTGAGCTTGTTTGTGTTCGACAAGGTTGTTTGTTTATTAATCGAGTGGAGCTTGAAAGAATATTAGTCAAAGAAAATTAGGATCGTTTGTTCGAATTAACATGAGTGTAATCGCAAGCGTTCGTTACTGAAACATCGTCTAACATTACTCGAAACGGATTTGAACAAACTGATTGAGTTAATCAAACATTTTCAATAAAATTGTTTGCTAAACAACGAAAGTGTAATGCAAGCTGAATTCGATCTTGACAAAAGGGTCATGCAAGCTCAAAACTCTTCTAGTTCAGGTCGTTCAGTTGCTGTTTGTGATAAAGAACCAAGTGCAACCACAAGATTTTAAATATATTGGGATGTGAGATTTTATATACATGCCTACCAGTTGAAGTGCATTTATTTGGGCTAAATCAAAAACTTCTGTTACCAAAGTAAGCCTCCTTCCTACACGCATCTATAGGATTGCACTTGTAAGTGTATATAACCTACTAATTAGGAATCTGTTCATATCAAATGGGAAGACTTAGAATCTTAGAATTTGAAATTCAAACGTATGCACTCTATCAATATACAGAAAAAACACGATCAGAAATATACAACCGGAAATCACCCCGCAAATGAATTATATACATACAATATACTTAACATATACAAATTAAAATTTTTACATTTGCTTAGACATGTGCTGAATATAACACCAGAAAGAAATAAACATATCAGTTAATGAAGATATACAGTTGCTCCAGTCAAGAATATGTACATATCATAAACAATTAGCATACCAAATACATATCAGCGAGTGAAAATGCACAATTTGATCCAAAATATTCCACAACACAAAAACATCTCACATATACATTACATATACTGAACATATGTAACCTCATTTTTGTTGGTTTAGTGGGTGATATACACACATGTTCTGTATTAACATTTGTTGTATATGACATAAAGAATACATACATTTTATGCACTTCTCACGTACAGAACATACTCATTTTATACACCCAATTATTAACCTAATTTATTCAGTTCTCATATACACAACATACATTTTAATCTGTATATGTTAAGTATATTGTATGTACATAATTCATTTGGGGGTGATTTCCGACTGAAAATTGCCAGAATTAGATGTGGAATCGACCTTTTCGTGTCTTTTTTTGCAGGGTGATTTCCGGTTGTACTTCGATTTCATGCTTTTGTCGAACTGCAACTTTTTTCACCATCTTCTATCTGAAATTCGTTTTCGAAACCAAAGTCGAGCATATCCCTATTTTCTAGCATTTTTTGTTTCTTTCCTTTACTCCGTCCCAGTAAACTTTTTTGAGGATTGTCGCCTAGGTCCGACTGAAAATGGTCGGAATCAAATGTAGAATCGACTTTTTCGTGTCCGTTCTTGCGCGGTGATTTTGGGTGGTTTTTGGGATTCATGTTTTTGTCGAAATTGAGTTTTTTTAGAACGAGGGTAGGTTGTGTTTTTGCTTGTATTTTTTGGAGACGAGAACTCGGTCTTTGATGAGGGGGTATCTCAGCGCCGGAGTTCATACTTCTTCCGAACTTAGGGGCTTGTATTCAATTGAGATTCAAATTTGGTGACTTTTGTGGACTTTGTAAAACTTTCATGACTTTGGTAGACTATTTGAGACTTTCAGAGAATTCTTATTAGTGACTTTTTAAAACTTCCATAATGGACTTTTTAAAACTTATTGAGACTTTTATATACTTGTAGTTATAATATTATGTTTGAATGAAACATTATAAACATAACATAATAACTAATATAAAGAAGAATAAATGCAAAAAAAATGTTTTATATATTAATCCTCTAAAAATTTATGAATCAACTCATTGTTATGCAAAATAAGTTATTCACCAACAAATTGTTTAGGATTTTAGATTTATTAAACGAGCAAATCAATCCGAGTTTCAACGAGTCGAATTATGGAAGATACAAACATTGTTGAAAAACAGTAATTGTATTTTATAAAGTTATCAATAATATTCAAAATAATTCAATATCAACAAATAAAATATTAGAAAATTAAATAATATTATTAATATTGAAAATAAACATTGACAAATAAAAAGAGAGAACAAATGAGTTATTTGCAAGTGCAAACTATGGAAACATTTAACCTTTGAAAAATCAAATTCACAAGATAACAAAATGAAAGAATAAAGGTATACATACATAAAATAACCATAATAAAAATATATAAAATAAAGATGACGTTAAATATACGTAATGAAAAAAAATATACAAGGTATCAAAATAAATGAGTAAAATAATAGAGCATGAAAGTGATAAGAGATACAAAGTCGTGTTAGAAAGAAAAAAGAAAGGGAGCGTGAAAAGAGTTACATAAGTCTAGCAAAATCTCACCAATATTGATGAGATTTCTGTTGAGACTTTCTCTTTGTAATTTTGTTAGAAAAGTCTATAAAAGTCTCACAATTTAAAAAGCCTCATAAAGTCTTCTTATTTTGAATACATGGTGACTTATAAAAGTCTTTAAAAGTCTCAATTGAATACATGTAAACTTTTCAGAAATCTCTAAAAGTTCTGATTGAATCACCAGAATTCTGAAAGTCTTAAAGAGTTTCTAAAAGTTGAAATTGAATGCACCCCCTTAGTTCTTGTCATGTTTGAATTCGAGTGTAAAGGAATAGGGTTTGCAGTTGATGGGTTGTGAGAGAGAGATGGGCGGTTAGTGAGGTGTGAGACATCTGTATATATATAATAAGAATTACCATTTACTAAAAATAGTAGCAAAAAATTTAGGAAACATTTAATGCATACCACTTTCGGAAACTTTTTAAGTATATGCATTAATTGCTTCCAGATCAAATAAGATAAGATCAAATAATTACTTAAATAAATTTACTAATATTTGCAATATTTTTATGATAGGATCATACTTAAATAAATTTACTAATATCTGCAATATTTTCATTGATATTTATTATAATAAATTACAAGATTGATTTTTCGTGATTCATGTTGATAATAATTTGGTAAAGATAAATATTATTTTATTAATATTTGTAATACTTTCATTTATATTCATTATAATAAATTACAAGATTGATTCCATGATCCATGTTGATAATATTTTGGTCAAGATAAATATTACACCATATTTTAAGTTCTAACCATAATATTAATTTATTTTTCACAGATATTCACTTTTTATCCAAAAATATTTATGGTAAATCGTAACAGGTTAGGTAGAATTTTTTTTCAAGTAATCAGACAAAATCAAATTGGTGAATTAATCTTTGCCAATATATATTTTTCTTAAGCTTCATTTTGTTAAATATAAAAAATAAATTGTTCTTCAAATTAATATAATTTACCATTTAAGAGATAATGACCAGATAATATATTAATTATTTTACAAACTAATCTTAACATACTCATATTTAATGTTTTGACTAAAAAGTCAATGTTGATTAAAAGAGGTACAAAATAGATTGTAACCTTATTGTTTATTACACTCAACGCTGCTTAAAAGATGTGGAAAATAGATGATAACCCTATTACTTTATATGCTTAAAATGACAAAGCCTGTGAAAATAACTCATTTAGTATTTATATCCCGTGCATCGCACGGGGTACGTGCTAGTTACATCTTACCAATTGCATAGGGAGTAGTTATTTGGAATGTGATTATTTTTTTCCCTTAATTACGCAGAATCTTGATTGCATATGTAAATTAATGATTTTCTTGATATATAGTATTCTTGCAAATAAAAATGCTTGATTATGTTAATTTGCTAATATTTACAGAGCTGCTCTATTTATGTAATAAAAAATTATACTCATTGTACATGATCAAATTTCTCTAGAAAAATGGGTTGCGGCCTCTCACCTTGTAAAATAGCCCATTTAGTTTTTAGGTTAAATGGCAAGCAGGCCATCTTCTGACAGCCCATGTATTAAGCACTAAAACGAAATTATGCCAGGACAAGAGAAAGAGAACGACTTAAACCTAAAACCCTAATTTATTATTTTCCTCCCAACACAGTCGTTTCTTAGAGATCGAGGCCACAAGCATTAGGTAACGTTCTATTCGAGCTTTGGTTATCCTTTATGATTCCGAATCTCGTAGTGTTATTTACCAAGTCT